GGCCACCGTGTAGCAATATGACATATTCGAAGGGATGCGGCTTGAGACCTTTGATCAAGGGGCGGTAAGCTCGCCTTTTTGTGCTATGTCGCAGTTTACACTCTAGCGATTTGTTAGAATTCTGGTCTAAAACGTGTACGCACCTATCATCATATTCCCATGCAAATCTTGGTGAGATGAGCTATCAAGTCTGACAGCTTTGATATCGTGTATTGAATGGAGAGCACTGTCTTTCCTGAAACGTAGTTCTCAGGAGCCCTTTGTTTTGTTAGATTAAGTAGTCTTCTTACCCTCAAGAAAAATCACAATATGATTTACATGATTGTTGAGGCTTTGAGGACATAGAAGTCTACTATCTTGAGCGTCAGGCTCCTGGGCAGGCTGTCTATGCCAGGCACCGCTATCCATGGGTGGCTAAAATTCAGAGAAGACATGTGAAGAGATAGGGGAGTAGATAGAGAATTTCTGAGGTTCAAGCCCTCGTATGCAACTAGAGATTTCTCTCACATTTGATGTTCATGGGTATCTATCTCCATTACCACCGACATAGACCGAATGTCCTTTCGAATGATGCACCTCTGCTTAATTTGGTTATTTGTCAACGAAACAAATATTCGTTGCGGATTTTAGGACCGGGCAGCTCGGGCGCTTTATACACACGTCAGTAGCTCCGTTCATCTTTCGTCAGTCATATATTGGAAGTTGACGGGCACACTGGCACTTGAAGCTTGCTCTGTGTGGTAGCGCCTGTTACTGAAGCTTCGCTGACAAGTATCTATGATTACTACATGTACTCAAAGTCACTAAATTACTCCCAGATGCCAGAGATATGGCAGAATTTGACCGGACTAATAGTCCATATAGCCTGACTTGCACTGTTAAGGCCTTTGATATATCGCTATACAAATTTGTCGATTGTTTCACCCAGCACGAAATTTCTACAGCAAAAATGCTCATCCAGTGGGAGACACACCAGCAGTTGGCAGCCCCATGTCAGCAATTCTAGCCTCGACAATTATTTCTGTGGTTTTTAATTCCGGAGATTCTGTGGAAGCTACAAGGACCAGGGATAAATCGAAATTTAATGCGGGACTTTAGCCCAATCTCAAGTCAATCAACATCTGGCGAAGCAACATATCTTTGTCTCTATCTTATACTCTATATAAGAACCGCTTCTACTACATACCGAAAGGGAGGGCCATTGAACTATGAGCAACACTACACCGGCTAAACCTTGACAAATTGAGTGACAAATAAGAGGCATATATCTAGGAAAAATGTCTTCGATAAATGAGACCATTTTCCAAGAGAGCATGGGTGCTCTTTGAAAGGCTATGTTGACTCTTAGAGGCAGCCGATATAGAATCAATATTTACAGGATGAATAGTTTGGTGTGTTGGAAGTAGTCAACAAGTTTTGCAAAGCAAAGGCTTATTTCAGTTCGACTATCACTAGTCGTTTATACCAAGCTAATCAAATGGGCAGTAACGGAGCCTTTCAACAATGCCCTTTCCATTTTTGAGAAGCCATATTCTCTCGAGTGAAACCTGCATCTAGTTATCCAGTCAGCAGCATATCATTGGCAAACATAATCTCCGCGTGTAAACGAGAAGCTTGTTTGGGACAGTTTTGGACCAAGTTGGGCAACTATGCATATGATCATATTCCCTTGAACTTGATTCTGTGTCTTTCTGTAGGCTTCTCAAGATGCTTTTTCTGATGCTATATATGATCTCAAACCGTTGGTGGTTAGAACAAATGATGAACGAAACCGGATATTTCAAGTTCTACAACGCGAAGCTACAGCCAAGTGGGTTGGCGCCTTCAACTATGTAGCAGTGAAGACACTTAAGTGAAATGCAAAGTCCAAGATTCGTGCATCATTGGAGATGTATGCCTCCGAGAGATTGACCTCTCCAAGCTTGGATAAGCGCTTGAACAATGTTATCAAACTGGGGGGACCCCATACTCACCGATACTTGCAGCTCGGAAAATCCAGTACCTTACGTCGCGCCGTACAACAAGAACCCACAGCCCACAGACGAGGCAAGTACGGCAGCTAACTCGATAGGGAAAGCTCCGCGCTTGAGACCCTCTTTGCCTACATTGATGTGTATTGATTGGATTGAGAATGGCACCAAAGCCTTGATTTTCACGGATGACAAGTGGATGCACCACCATGCAACCTTCGGTCAGAGATTCCAGAAAAAAAAATGACCTCCGTGGAGCTCCGTAGCCATGCGACTCTGGGTGCGGGGCTATTGACACTATTGATTTTACTACTTTTTTAGACAGCGGGTTTACGTCGATCCTAACTCAAAGCGTACGTAGGCGAATGATTATAAGATTCAATAGTGCAGATTTAAAGCTCTAATAGAATTCTTGTCGATGACGAAAGATATAAAATGCAGTGGATAACCACAACTTTAAGTTCTGAAAGCTTCGGTCCAGTGCTAGTGATAAGGTGACCGTGCTTTGTATAGAAGGACGACGAAAAGGGACAGGAAAGAACAGGAAATATATGCCACGAACTACGAGAAAATATCAGCCACGGTGATCGAAGGATCGACACCAAAAATAGAATAGTGCACAGGCCAGAGAGGGGCTGCGAGGTGTTCGTGACATGTCAAATTTTCTCCACGAACTCCGGTGATCCCAGAGAAAAGCTCACTTCAGCCGCGTGTCTTATTGATCTGATTGGTTTAGCTTAGATTCTTCCGCGACGAACCTACTATCCTTTTCTCATGAACACCAATCTACGCGATCATCTTACATGGTAGGTCACGGTACTGACATGAGACACATCACATATTGCACAGGTGACAACTCCGACGGAGTGAATTTACCGACTCTTCACGACCCTTAGAACAGGACTGTGGCATTGCATCCGCTTGACTCAGTGTGATGCTCCTCGCAGATCCTCTGCAGCGGCTGTGACACCCCATCGTGCGCGAGATTGCCAGAATGTGAATTCACCGCTATATGATGCATCGGGTAGGTAGACGTCTATCAGCTATCTCATGCATTGGTGCCCTCGGGTGCGGGGCTGGGGAAGACGAAGATAGGGGGTTGTTTGCAAGGCTGTATACTTCGGCTCGGTCTGATTCGATGCCACTATCGCCCCTCGTGTGGGGGATTCTTTTTCCCTGCTAGGGGATCCGTTGAGTTACTATCCATACATACTACTATAGGTAGTTCCCGACCCGGGCGCTACTCATCGTAATATCTAAGTATATGTACGTCGTACGTAGTTCGTTCACGATGGCTGCGCCTGAAATATCCTAAGCTCTTGTTTGAGTTGGCACATGACTCCAGCTTTTCAATCCGTTTCTCTGTGTTTTTTCATCTTTCCTTTCCTTTATCAACGTAAATATGATATAAGGATTCGGGGTGTCGGTTGTATATTAATACTTCGTGGATGATCCGCGCCCGCCCAAGTCCGAAAGCCTGCGAGTTAGTTAGTTTTGTTATGGCGATTAATAATATGATTCTAGATGTAGGCAATTCAATATTTCCCACGACAAAGGACCAAAAAGTGCTAAAATTTCAATTTCGGGGGCGACCCAGCTTCTCCGCAGCCACGAATCTCGGAGTCGAGATGTCTCAGTACATGTGGGTACAAGAAGGATGGGAACCGAAATGTGGCTCGGCGTATCAGGGCAGTCGTAGATCACCCAGTGCATTGAGTTTTCAGTCTTTCAAAATACTTGGGTCGCACGCCATCGCTCAGCAAGCGTGTATTTTGAGTTCATTATCAAACCCTCCGAGAATTCTCCATCTGGCAGCCATATTGAAGATTGTCGATTCCAAGCCTCATTCACGTGGCAGGCATTAGATTGGAACTGTGGCAGACTTGAAGAAATACAAGACGTACGACGCACGATCAAACTTAAGAACTTGAATATTAGAACTTGTAGAATCGTCTCGATAGTGCGCTTTAAACCAGGCACCAGTGATTACCAGGTAAGTAGTAACGGATTAACTTAGAAAAGAATCTCGAACCTTTGCGATTATTTAGGAGGAAGGGGGCACTACTGCAGTATGACATCCTGGCACTACCATATAATAATTGCTCGGTTTAACAGGCACCCACCTGTTGTAATAGTTTTACCACCGGCATTGGCTAAGGCTATCGGTAAATATTTTAAGTCTGGCATAGTCAGAATGAATCGAAGTTTACGCGCTGTCAAAAGGGGTAGACACTCCGAGGAAAGTTTGGAGGCGACGTCATGGGGCACTAGTGCACTAAGCAATATTGGAGGCACGAATCCCGATCGGAATCTAGTTTCTGGTATTTGGATTTCCAGGCCGACATCTCTGGGTCCAGGTGGGTCAAGAGAGTGGCAGGTTGAGCGGACGAGGGGTGGAAAGTGGGCTAGGGGAAAACTCCAATTTTGAGAGTTTTGATTGTAGTAGTTGGATCCAGAATCGGAGATGGTTGGAGACAAGATGAATCCATGGTCAGAAGATTATTGCGGCCCTAATATTGAGTCGTCTCGGCACATAGTATGTCTGATTCCGGCAAGAGCTTATTATTGGGGGATTTGAGGTGCTAGAGAGCTTGAGGTCGGCATAAAAGTATTTTCCGACGCCCCATTGACATAATGGCGATTATAGGAACAATAATAACAGGGATCTTGTTATGGTTCTTTGAGGGGAAGTGGGTTAATAGAGTGAAAGGATGCCGTAGTAAGCTGAGGGAGAAGTGGTTTTACATCAGCTTGAGAAGGAGGGCCACGGAGATCTCGGATCGGATTGGCTCAAATAGCAGCCCCTTCTGCCGCCTAGTCGTAAGGCATGATCCACGTTTCCCATCATGCGTGCAATAATAATACGAGATCGTCGGATTTTGCTGAGTGGGGGAAGTGGTAGTTACGGTATGTATCATTACAAGTATTTCTTTTCAATCCAAGAGATCTGTTTTCATGTGGTGAGCTTGTGGGGCAAAGAAACCTCATCGACTAATGCTTAGTAATGCAGGAGAGTTTCGGCCATAGGTTCTCCCTACTTAGCGACATAAGGCACGCGATGCGATTGTAGATATTAGAGCGATGCGAGAAGTGACTAGGCAACCAGAGAGAGAGATGGAAACAGCAATATCATGAAATGGCATCCAGTGAAATTTCCCTTGCTATCAAGATCCGAGAACCCGTTTTCCCCTTCACAGTCGGTCTGGTAATAAACATGCATAGCAAAATTAGGGTATCAAAAACAGGAAGTCTGAAGGGACCCTCTCCGCCTTGCTTATGCACAGAGCAGGAATCCTATATAAAGAAGCAAGAAATAAGGTAAAACAATGTAAAACAGACTTGAAACATATCAAGGAAGACATCAGGAGAAAGGAAAATGTGAATATGAAACAAAAGCCAAATGCCAGTCTATCCCTCTTTGCCGTGTACCAAACCCCATAAATCGTGAAAATGAACTGAAAAGGGAATATGAAGATGGAATCAGGATAAACGGGAAGAAGTTATTTCCCAGTCGTAAGCCAAATGAACGCTTGAAGTTGCGACGCCGTGAACGTTGAAAGATATGCGAACAAATGAAAAATCAAGGCCGTGATCAAAAGAGACATGAACTGATGCCAGGGTTCTAGAGGTCATGGAGAGACAAATGAAGGAAGGGTTGGTGTGTCGAGATGAATTAACCCTTTACGACTCGAGTTAGCGCGTTGCTCGATGTCAACTCAGGGCTTAGTGGTGCGATGATGACAGAGGCTCTTGGTCAACGTCGCTAAATGGAGAGTGCCTGGAAGAGTCGGCATCGCCTCCACCACTTCGCATTTGATTCCGCAGTGCTGGGAGCTGTCTCCGTCGTGCGTTGATGAACCAATTGCTGATCTAAATTCCAGATGTTAGTCACGATGCCATCTTGTTGCTTCGACCTGTTCTTCTTACCTGGCTGATCGATAGGCCAGTTCGAGTCATGAACATTTGCTTATCCTCTTCGCTAGGATATGGGTGATCTAGATGCTCATGGAACCAGGCTCGCAAGATATCCGTCACTGGTTTAGGCAAATTACCCCGTCGACGCTTTGTCTTAGGATCTATCGGGTCACCCATAATGCCGAAGTTGGCCTGTTGCGGGTGCGTCATCATTCCGGGCGACATCTGCTCGGCATCGCCGGGGTAGGGCATAACTGGGTGTCCATACGGCGGTTGGCCGTGCATTACTGTGGCTGTATAAGGCTCCACGTTTCGTCGGTCTCCCATCGCTCCCGAAATCGGACCTGGCTGGCCCGAACGATATTCTTGTGCAAACGGGTCGGAGCGCGGGCCGGCCGTTCTATTGTCAGGGTATCCTTTCCTATCTGGCATGGGTTGAAGGTCTCGTATGGGTGGAAGAATCGGACTAGGGCCTCGCGAGGCATGATCCCCAAGTCTCATGGATAGGTGATCGCTCATCGGTCGGGGTGAGTGCTCGCCTGCACGGGTTGTATATTCGCGGGAATGTTCACCATAAGGTGCTTTCGAAGAGACACTGGGAGAGAAGCCGGGCATTGACCTGGGGTCGGCTGCCATTTCATGACCGGAGGAAGGCCGCTCCTGCGATTGGTGACGGGAGGCATAGTATGACGGGGAGGAGTCGATCTCTTCATGGAGGTGCGGTGGGAGGAGCTATCGGAGTACTTCATTAGCACACTGTGGACTAGAGGGCATTCACACGGGCGTTTTCACTCACTTCGCGAAATGATGGAAGCGTTTGAGGGTGACCGGCCGGTGCCCTGCTTGCATACGAAATGGCCATGTCGGTATCGTCGTCCAAGTCCCGGGACCGTGACATAGACAAGGCTTATAATAGGCGAAGAACGTGGCAGGACGAGTACATATAATCAAGACAGAAGATCAATCGGACAGACTAGACGACGCGCGAGTTCTCTGTCAGGAATGCAAGGTTCTAGGGTCTCGATCGACAATCTTTCAAGTTGACCCAAATTGCTTTTCAACAGTCTAAAAGCCAAATGGAAGAGGGGAGAGGCGGAGTGGTGGAAGAGACGATCGGGGAGGAAGAGGTATAGTGGTGGTGGTCGGGTGTTTACCGGGTGTATTGTAGCGAAAGGAATTGCGTTGTGAACACTCACCCTGGGAACCTTGCCTGGTTTTACGTTGACATCGCCGGTCACCGAAAGGCCAAGATTAATGCAAGGTTGGGGAATGAGGGCGAAAAGATGGGACTGCGGTTTTTAGAAATCGAAGTAATGCAGGGCCCTTGTACATTTTATTTGATTTCCCCTCCGCCCCAAAATAATATTTCAAAATTCGAAAATTCAAAAAAAGAAATATTAATTTTATATCCAAAATCCTAATCCAAGCAGACATGTTCCGAAGACCCAGCTATTATATCCATGGAAAAGCAAGAACAGGGGGGGAGGACCCAGAAAAATGACGATCGTGGGCATGAAGTGGAGACTGGAAGGAGCCACAAACTACGGAGCCACAGCAGTAGCGCACCGTGTCCTCGAGGCATGCAGAGCGGAGAAGAGGGGGGATGGTGCAAATCAAGAACCCTATGGAGCATCCTTAAGGTTGGCCTTTGACAGATAGCGCCAAGGACCCTCTCATCTGGTTCCTGTCATCCTGGAATCGGCCGTCGTGTGTTAGCGCCAGGATCTATCAATTGGCGGGCTCTCAAGAACTACTGTTCCCTTCCCCCCGGTTCCACGCTAAGTCATTCCTGGTTCCTTTCTACTTTTTCGGTGGGATTTTCCATTTTTTCGAAGGTCTATTCTGAGTGCAGCCTGATATTCCGATCATTACGTTACCGTCTCCTTTCTGAGCTGATCTTGTTGGACCGGTATTTTCTATGAGTAATTGGTTATCAGGAGAAGATAGACAGAAAGCCACAGAAAGGGGAAGGGAGGGGCAAAGGATTCCCTCGATAAGTGGAACTTTCTTCATGGGCGTGACCTTGGAGTAAATGGTTTGGCGCCCGGATAGGTAGTATTGGCTTGAAAGTAATAATAATGGGGTTAGGCAGAACGGAGAAAAGGCAGGCAGCTGAAGATCTCCTTTCAGCCGCGGCAGATGGAAATCCGATCTCATCAATTCAAAACTACAGTACAAATTGAGGGAGCCCCTGATCTAATCGGGTATATACAGTATAAATAATTTTTTTTCAAGACTTTCGAGTATTCCCGAAGTCTTAGATGTTTCTTTCAAACGAAAATCATCGAAAAACAAGCACGAAAATCCCAGTCCCAGTTGAAAGTAACCAAATGCCGTCGATGCATAGGTGGAAACTTGGGGGACGGTTCGTAGCAGGCAGACGAGACACATAATACTGTACAGTATAGTATGTACGGAGTAGTGAGTGGAAGTGGGATGCCGGCTACAACAGCCGCAGAGCGGGCAATTCGTACTTGTAAATGGAGGATGGAAGGGAGGGAAATTAGAAAAAAAAAAAAAAAAAAAAAAAAGGGAAAAAAAAAGTGGAGAGAGACGGCATTCTGGCATTCAAAACGTACGGAGTACTGTACAGTACCTGAGTCAGGCTGAAGTCAATTAATTCAAATACTGAACTCGAACCAGACATCGGTTTATTATTATTTCTCGTCCAAGTAGTAATAGTGGGGACTAGAATCATTCCACATGGGGAAAAGAAGGAGAAAGGGACAATCCCCCCCTCCTCTCCCTAAAGTGCGCCCTTCGGCCGAGCATAATACAGAGTACTGACTGCAACCTAGTTAAAGTCAACCATGCAAGCAGATTGGGGCTCGAGGCCCTTGGGAGTCAGATCAGTTCACTCTTGTCTCTTTTCTCTTTTCAAAGCCTTCGGGTTCCTTATTCCCGTGGTGACCTTTTTTTTTTTTTTTTTTTTCTTTTCTGTGACGGGAGCAGGATGTGGAACAGTTCATCGTGTGGTTGAAAGTCAAACCAACCATTTCACGAGTGAGGGTGGATCACCAACCCAGAAAGCGGGCTCCGAAGTCGAAGGGAAAGATCGCCAGAGCGCGTCGCTGGGACCGTTCCACATCGCAGGTTGTCAGGAGTGCCATGGCTCACTGCGACTGGTTCCCAGCCCGATCGCGAGGCGTCCCGAGGAGCTTATCCTGGGTGTTGGGTTCAAATGGGTTTGAGAGGTCCTAGGCTCCGAATAGGACGAGACCATGGGCCGATGACCCATACTATTGGATACGTCTAGGATGAGAAGACAAGAAGCTAGCGTACGAGCTTGCATATTGGCGTGGGGGGAGGGGAATCTAAGAGATCTGGAGGGAACGATCTGGACTCTCCTTGACCTTGGCCCTGGGAGATTGTAAAGCGGACAAGGAAATAGTGGTAGTACTGTAGCCGTAATAAGTCGTTACCAGGGTCGGTAATGCTCGGTGGGTAGCCAGTGGTCAGCCAGTGGCTGTAGGGGATAGGGAACTCTCCGCTAGAGTTGGGGAAGACAAGGGGGGGAAGACAGCGACGAACATGACGGACATGCACGGCTCGATCCCAGCCGGGAGCCTCTGATCAGTGGGCACGGCGATCGATCGACCAGACACGAGAATCCAAGTACAAATGATCATGGGGAGGGGCTGGGCACGGTGAAATCATAATACATACTCCATACTGCGTACTGTATCCTGTGGCGCTGTGGGCTTGGCACCTTTCAAGGCCCGACAGAATCAGGACCAGATGAGAGCCGGACAGGGATGGACAGATCGCCTAGTGTGTGGTGAGTGGTAGGGGTTCTTCAGTGATCTCCACTTCCTTCCAGATGAACCCAGCGTGTGGCGTAGCAGGAGGCCCGGATCCACGCGCTGCGGTCGCGCTCCGTACGTCAGGTCACCCACACGGAGAATCCGCATGGCTCCATCCAGGACGCGAAGCCTGACGGAGGGGGTGCGCTCTCATGATCCGTCCACTTTTCCTCGCTTGGAGACGATCGTACAGCATTATTAGCGGGGGTATCTGGAAACGGAGGTGGGTATGACGGTTAGCCACCTTTTTGAAGCTGGAGTCCGAACCGGTGAGTGAGAAGGATTTCACTCGCTGGAGTGCTGATAATACCGAGCTGCTCTCGGGGAGGGGATCGTGAATTGCGTTCAGAGAATTTGTTTGGTGCATAACTGCATATGATATCTTAAGCAATGTCCATGTCGGCGAGGGGTGGGACAAAGGTGTAAGTACGAAATCGTACTTCACACTTGGTTAAGGGGAGGGGGGGGGCCAAAGCAAAAACTGACGTGGAGAGGGTCCGGGATCTGAGGGCCTTAGAAAAACAAAATGAACGGCTCTCTTAGGGCTGCTAGTAGTCGAAGGAAGATTGTTATTTCCGTAATTTCTGAACTACTTCGAATAAAGGATAGATGTGGCATATACTGACAGCTAGGCTCGTTCGTTGGATCATACCCTGTAGTGTTGTATCCTCCTACCCAGTCTCACATCCCCTATTACGACTCTGCTATGCCATGCGGCTCGCATATCGCATATCGCACACTTCCGCCCTGCCGTGCGCTGGCATGGTTCAGCTCTCGACACTAGACTCGCTAGCCCCCTTCCTAGTGACGCCAGAGGTCCAGCTGGGTGACAAGGCGGACCCTCTCGGGTGGATCACCTCCTAACTGGCCAGTGGCTACTGTACTCAAGTGTTCATGACCTCCGTACGTATCAAGTCGCATGTACAGGTTGTTTATCGAGGAATAATACAGAGTAATTGCTACGTACAGTATCAACCAAAAGGTGGTTCATGTTAAATCACCACCCTAGTCGTGACCTACACTTTGTTATGTATGGAGAGATGGGATAGACTTCATAGTGGAAAGGCACACGGTCCATGTACTGTACAAGGTTTCCTCACAATTTAGGTACAGAGCAGCTACACATAGGTTGAGAGATTTGAGTGGATGAGAACCAGGGTGACAAAGAAAAGGCTATCTGAGATCCTCCAGCAAAGTGAGTGGGGCGGGGCGTCTGACGCTCTGTGCAAACGCTGCTCGAGAGTCGGGGGATACTGATCCTGTACTCTACTCCACACTCTGTGAAGCGCATCCGATCCGTTCTACTGGCCAGTGACGGAGAAAATGAGAAAGACAGAAGAATTAAACAGACACCGAATACTCTCGAAAGAATTTTTGGCCAAGAACAAAATTTGTTGAAGCCAGGACGAGCGCCAGCGAATCCATGGCACTACAATCCACGTAAGTCGACATTGCTCGTCCAATCACACCCAATATGAAGGACATTGGGGCCTCGGTCTCACCTTCTTGCTTATGCTCATCAATGTGACACTGGTCATGCTCGTCATATCCCTCCCCGAAAGATGCGGTGACCCTGGCGACTAATTTGACATCCAATTCACCTTAGATTCGCCTCTCTAGTCTGTCGGGCGAACTCTCGGGCGCTCTCCGCATGGCATACTCGCATCCCGACGCTATCAGCCCACTAGTTTCAGTTCTGAGTTTAAGTGGCCCCCGTCACAGAGTGTTTGTCTTTGCTGAATGTGGCAGTCAGCCCCGGGGCATACATTCTCGGTCTTGGTGTAAGGAGACGCCACGATCGAAGCAGTGGCATGCTGTGGCTGGGATTCTTTTCGATCACATCAACAAGACTAATGGTTCAGTCATATTTCTGTACATTGATGTGTAAGGATACCCTCCGTACTAAAGTAGCAACCAAATCAGAAATCACTAATTGATTGAGTTTACTTTGGAATTTGAGATCGACCTCGTGGAGGCTTCAGATCAGATTGGCCGGGCCTTTCGTGATTTGCCCATCATTCAAGGATGGTTGATAAAAGGAAGACGCGATAACAGATCTGGCTCATGTGGAGTTTCGCGGCTAGGCAAAGTCCCCTTACTCAACATTAGCGAGTGTTATCTGATTTCCTATTTCAATTTCCCCACACCAGCGCCTTGTGGTCAAATGCTGCTCTTTTCATTGCTGATTCGGGAAAGCGATAATCCTACCGCATAACCTAGGGAGTTAATCACATAGGAAGAGCCTACGAGGTAGTAATTCGGAGTCACGAAGGGAAATAAAGAGAGGGAGAGAGGTGGGGGGGGGGGGGCATAGAAAAAGCCCAAAAATAAAAATGGATGTGGAAACGAACTCAGAAAAAGTAATTCTCATCAATAACAGGGTACCGAACTGCTCCACCAATAGATTTATTATTGCCCCTCCCAGCCACATTTAGGCACGTTCAGGCACGGTAAACGGAAATGAGTTACTCAAATCAGTTCCATATCAACAGAAATTAGTGGGGATCTTCAAAACACAAAAATCCGACATTTATGGAATTTGACATCGTGCTCACAAGAGAGCAGGGACGCAGATCATCGGATCATGCACCAGGTATTTGCGCTATGTCTGATACTGTAGTAAGTATGAGACCGGGGAGGTCGCTTGGGGGAATGGGCAACGGATGAATTAGTCTATTGTAGCCACGAGAATTGAAATCAGAAATTAACGAATGCATCTCAATGTGCCTGCCATGCAGGAATTTGTCATCGTGCAACCCAGCTATCCCGGTATTCGGGTTTAGGCGATCGCAGTTCCTGCCCCCTTTTGGGAATATCATTGGGCGCCTACGCGGACGCTCCAACCCCGGCAGGAAAGAACCTTATTTCTGGCCGGTCGCGGGCCCAAGTGTGACAGAAATGTCAGCTATTATTATTGAGTCTATTTAGTGTGGACAAGTGACGGGGAACTAAGATCAAGCCAAGTGATGCTAGCGAAGAGTGTCCTTCCTAATCCCATCTAGGTACGATCAATTATGGAGTTTAAAATCACGAACCCGCCATCATCATCATTATCATCATCGCCATTATGAATGAGTAAATTATAATTGACAGTGCAGGATCGCTCGCCAGTTCTCATAAGTAGTCTTTTCAATTGGCTCATTTTCTGGATTCACCCGCTTGTGGATATGATTTCCGACGCTGCTAAGGAGAGATCATAATCAGGGCTGGATCGGTCTGGTCGCCCTGTAAATATCACTCTGGTATGTGGGGGAAGGGAGGTCAGCCCTTGGCAGCGCCCCTGCATGGTACCCAGTGCGATGCAAGGAAATCTGGTCTTGGACGGGCGGGCTTCGCCTTGTCGCCTGTCAGTCTTTGAGTTCAAGCCAAGGCGTTCCAGCGTTCCAACCTTCTGGTTTCTGGGAAAAATGACGATGCCGGATCTGCTCACATGAACTTTGTAGGAGGGGTTCTCGTCGGCCCTTCCATGGTCCCTGTCCACCGCCTATAAACGAATTTACTTCGGCTTCAGCCTCGGCGCTGAATAGTTGTCCTTACGATCTTGTGGCTCGATACGGCATGTGAATATCTAATATAGCACGGCTTGACACCATGCTTTTCATGTATCACGATAGGCCAGGAGAGTTGCAGACTGCAGTCTGGATCGGACCTAGTTTAAGTGCCCGTATGTTCATCATCAAAGATAACGTGCCTACCCTTTAGTAGCAACTTGTGAAGTGAAACACGAGGTCATGCACCCTAATGGGTTGACTCACTACGATATAGGTATCTACATATTTAACCAAATCCTTCTAATAAAAAATACGATGATCATGAGATAATATCACGTCCAATGAGAGAATATTCCAAAAGGAGCTCGAGGTAGGAGTAAGAATGTGACCTAAATGGCTGTTGCCGGCGTCCGAGGTCATTGAGAACTTCTTCTTACATAAACTAATCGGCCCAGTCATTAAGGAAAGATTACTATTTTGCTCTACTATTTCCTTATGAAGAGGGAGCCTTAGGGCGAAATTGCTGTCATTTTGAAATGTATCGACACCGGCTTTAGTACCTTATGACTACCTGCACATCCAATATAGCTCTCGAGATTGAACATACAGTGAATGCCTACTGAACCATCCCGTCACCCATTGGCGGAGCCATTTTAGCCATCAACAGCCAGAACTGCTCTAGCTCACTAGGTTCATATTTGCTTATGGAAGTGTATGAAGGTGTTCAGAATATCATTGAGTCTAATTTTCGTTCGAACAGCGTGGCTTCTGGCAGAGAAAGCCTAGTTTCTATGACCTTCGTATCGCTCCTCCTATGGGTTAATTCATCACGTCTCTAGGCTTGTGTGACGGGCTCTGTATTGTAAATGATAGGCTAATCCTTCTCTTGGCCCAGGAGGGGAATGATAGAGCTACGTCGAGGCAGTACCTAGCAATCTATCTCCTATTGAAAGTGATACCGGCAACGACAAAATCGATTTGTGATACAGTGGATGCTGCATTGCTGTAGGATAGCAAGATTCGTGTTTAGTGACATGAGGTATCAAACGGCTCTGACCCCGAGTCACTGAAGGTTCTCTGCTTACAAAGGCGCTATGGCGTTGATGTGGATGAAGAGGCATATTGTATACCCCTGCTGTGTATCGACCGAATTTACTGGGCTGATTGGAATGTCGGGACGAAGCCTGGCCCTTGGTGAAGGAAGCCTCTAACGGTGCCTTATTTGCTCCCAGAGGAGAGCGAGGTGATTCTATCTACCCACATTTTGAGTATCGTGGGTGTGAACTTTCTTTCTCTAATCTAAGAAGTAGCATACACGGGGCGACTTTTCCATGGGCCTGTCTCGTTCAATTAATTCCTCATAGACCATAATCGTGACTATTTTGCAAGTGTGTTGCCCAGTTCAGCAGCTCTGGAAGCTGCAGCCTTGACAGCCTTATCGACAGTCTCCTTGAGTCCAAGGGCCTCGAAGGTCTGGAGGGCAGCATACGTGGTGCCATTGGGACTGGTGACATTCTTGCGCAGCTGGCCAGGCTCATCAGATGACTCGACGAGCATCTTGCCAGCGCCGAGGCAAGTTTGCGTGGCGAGACGAGTAGCTTGTTCCTGGGAGAGACCCAACGAGGTGGCGCTGGCAATCATATGCTCTACCAAGGCAAAGAAATAAGCAGGGCCGGAGCCTAATTAGAGGTTAGATCATGGCCCTTTCAAAAGTCGGGCGTTGTGTTCAGATATACGTACCAGACAACCCGGTCACGACATCCAGAAGCTCTTCCTTATCCACCCACTCGGTGGCTTTGCTGACACTGCTCAGCAGAGAGTTGACCAGATCCTTCTCGGCAGGGGTCACATCCGCACTTGCAAAGGCCCCAGAGGCACCCTCACTCACCAACGCAGGTGTGTTGGGCATCACGCGAACGACATGTGCAGACCGGCCATCACTGGTCCGGGACCACTCCTGTAGACTATTGAGGGTGATACCCGCCGCGATGCTAACAACGACGGGGAGGGTCTGGCGTTGCGTCCACGACGCACCAAGCTCTTCACACACGGCCTTTGTGACCTGAGGCTTAACAGCGATAATAACAATGTCCGCATCTGCACCCGCCTCGGAGTTGGCCGTGGTCGTTCGGACGCCGACCGCGGCAAGCTTGTCGCGGTTGACATCCCAGGGCTCCGAGACGTAGATGTTCTGCTTGTTGACACCCTTACTCACTAGACCGCCGATGATAGCAGAGGCCATGTTGCCTCCGCCGATGAAGGCGATCTTGCTCTCTTGAAGGGAAGGAATTATAATGGGCTTGATTGTATTTTGGTGGGCTTGATTGTATTTTGGTGGGCTTGATTGTATTTTGGTGGGCTTGGTTGTATTTTGGTGGTTGTCGGTGGTTTCTCTGATGTCTCGGTAAACCCCCACTTTGAACGAACTTATCGTAGGTGGGGCAAATTGAAAAAGCGCAGACCGCCCGAGATCGCTCCTTTGATGCTGCTCGGTGCTTTGAATCGCAATGGAGTAGACACAAGATAAGGCCAGCCGGTTTTCGATTGCTGGTTTCTGTGAATTGACCAGGCTGAGAGATTTTTGAGTTAATTCTGCCCACCTTTCTCTAGTATTTATAGAAATCTCTTTGGCTAACCGTTGACTCATCTCCAACCGTCCCCAGGTCCTCGGAGCCGGGCCGGTCAGACCGGATCTGGGGTAGAGTCCGTTGAAAAGCGTTATCTGTCTTGAGTTCGATAACCAGGAATTAATAAGACTATCCTAGGATTTACCGGGGCATATCCCGGGTTAGAGAGGGGAAGCTGTGATGGAAACTTTCTAGACAGATATGGGATTCCATGATATTCACGCTTCTAGAGGTGACTAGTTCCAGATGGGCGGAAACGCCCATTGGGCTCGACATTGGGCAGGGTATGACGCCTATCTTAGTGGGCTTATTCCCTTGCACGTGGCCGTCACTTTTGACTTTCTCCGATTTCTACGAGTCAGTGGTGGTGGGGAATGTTTCTTGGTAGAATATTACTGAAGATGAATCTGGAAGCCAATCTATGGGGAGGCATCTCAGGTACGGGTCAGCTGTGACGTAGACCATTGGACTCAATTCCTCCTTACGGTACTCTCGTCAACTATATATATAGATATATCCAGCAGTGATGACATTTCTATGTTAAATCTAGTATTTATGTATGTTGTCAACCTTTGGTTGAAGGGCCATCGACAGTGGCATTGGTTCAAATTATATCCGCGACTCACTGATAATATTAGAGACTCCATCGACACGGAAGGAGATATTTGTCGGTGAGTATGAATGTGTATGTAGTACACACACATATATATATCTATCTATATACGTGCTTTCAGCGGAGGGGAGTGACTATGCTAACTAAGTGTGCTGACCAAAGATTATTCATCTCCTTCGACGTACTCTTAATTGATATGCTGCTAGGCCACCAGTGATAATCGGTACTACCATAAATGAAACGAGCAGAAAATAGAACAATAGGCTCTTTGTTCAATTGTGACTGTCTGTCATCTGCATGACGTTCCAAATGATCAAAAATTTAACCCAAAAAAGAAATGTTTGACAAGAGTGGGATTCGAACCCACGCCCCTTTCGAGACACGGAAGTTTGGATCAGGTCAACCTGAACCGTGCGCCATAGACCAACTCGGCCATCTTGCCTCTTAGTAATCGAAAGTGCCAATCTTTAATACATATTATTGTAAAGAGTCTCCTATGCTAATAGTTAAGAACAAAAAACCATCAAACTAGGGATAAGAATATACAAAAGATACTAAGCCCACCAACATCAATATAGCCTACCTCCATATATCTCAGCATACGGCAGAGAGCAGAAAGGATAAATCTATCCAGGAAGAATGCCCATTTAATTTCAGTAATCTATATCGAAGACCAATCAAATGATCGACAAGAGACGACGAGAAGAAAGAACCGCAACGCCTAGAGATCACCAACCGAAAAATCTTCGTCCAGTATAAAACAACTGATGTAACACCAGGAACAGAGAGCCACCGCGCTAAAATGCGTAACAGAAAAATGGAAGCTTATCAGACGATGATCGCTTTACAAGGCCAATAAGTCAGGCGATATCTCCAGAAAGCCAGACAAGATCTTCAGTCATAAGGCGCCGGCGGACAAAACGCAGAACAAAAAGTGAGAAAACGGAGAAGGCCACACCAGATAATATGTACAATCAGATACGGCGACCAAGCGCATATCGTGCCAGGTAAGCGACGGAAAACGATCGATTGCTCGATGCAAAGGGCTCAGCGAGCTAGCCTATACGCCGGATTTTTCGTGTTTGTTTTACCAAGTTTCCTAGATATGAATCAGGTCTTGCCCCCTCTCCAACCAAGGAATTGGCGTGAGCTTAGGAATGGGGGATTCGACTTACCGCAATGTATTGACCCGCTTCCTTCTTGCGCTGCCAGAATAGCTCTGCCTCTTTGGCATTCAAATTGCCCTTAGCCATGGCAACCTCGACAAGAGCGGCCTCCACTCCTTCACCCATGCCCTTGCCACTGCCGCAGACAAACACACGACCATCCAGCGCATTGATTACGTACCAGACCAAATCCGCCTGGTGGCGCACTTCCTCTTGGACATAACGGCTCTCGCCACGACGGCTTTGTACCACAGTGCGGACTTTGTCCTCGTGCACACCCCATTCGCCGCTGTATAACTCATCAAGGAGGGAGTCACGCACACCCTGAAGTACCCAGACTTTGTTGGCACAATTGGCCGACTGTAGACGGCGCTGGACGAATCCACGGAATGGAGCAATGCCGACACCGGCTCCGATTAGAAGCATAGGCCCATCGGAGGCAAAGCGCTTCGCCAGAGGATTCGCCATCAAACCACGGAACATGGGGATGTAGAGGTTATGCTTCTCACCAGCGGCTTCCGCCCGAATTGCGCGCTGCGCAAGTCGCTCTAGATAGCCGGAGCTCACCCCGGTGCGGTTGCCGCCGCGCCAATCCTGAGACTCGGCGACGGTAACGGCAACCTCAATCAAGCGGCGGCACTCGTTGCCCTTAAACTGGCACGAAATCATGGGGTCCTGGGAGAGCGAATAAAAGCGTGGCATAAGAGTATTCAGCACCGAGAGGAGGTGATCGAGAGGAGGCCGAGTGGAAGGAAAAGCGTGTAGAAGCTGGGACAAGCTGATGTGTGAGGTGGTGCGAAGATCGCAGAACGCGCCTTGGCCCTGAGCCGAGGACAGGTACTCGAGAATTTTCTTCTCGTTCTGCTCGGTCGTGTACTCGGCCAGGAGGCGAAAGAGAGGTTTAGTTGGTGGATAACTTTGGATATCTGAGCACCAGCTAAGAACCTCGCGCCGGGTAGTGATTAGCTCGCGCGGCTTGTCGTCGCCCCAGATAGTCGGCCAGCGACCACTGGTCGTCCGCATGCACACCTTTCTATCGCGCATTGATCTGGGAATACCCAGCAGATTGAAAATGTCCTCCACCTCCTCATCCTTGTTTTTGGGGCAGACACCGATGGCCCCGCCGACGACGAAATCCACCATCCCACTCTCGGCGGGGTAATCGGTAACATCAATGTCGAAGTGATAGGTACGCTTCTCAGCACCGCCCTTGGTCAACTCCCGGGCATGATGGAGCGGAGCTCTGTACACCTCGTAAGGGGGATGTGGTTGTACAAATTGCGGAGGGTGATCCGCGGGGCCAAGTGAAATGTCGGCAGCGTATGCAGGGGCCGGCTTGAACGAGACCGTCTTCTCTGGCAGCGGGGCAATGTTGGAGAGAGGGCTGTCCAAAGTGAGAAGATCCAGGTTTAACTCCAGACTGGCGAAGGCTTTGTTCTCGGGCGCTGTGATCGAATTGAAACCGGAGATAGGCCCGTCCAGTAGCGGCAAGGGTCGACCGCGGCAACATCCTCCGCCACAACACATGGATTGAATTTTTTGCGTACCGCTTGTACCCACGTTCTCCAAGACCCGCCGCATATCCTCGGAATTTTGGGAGATCAGAACGGTCGAGGCCCGGCGTTGGCGGCCATTGGACTTATAAGTGAGGTCTTCTTCGGACCGTGTGTCACTAGGCGGAGTAATTGGGGAGTCGGAGGAGTGAGAGCCGACCGAGTCGGTTTCTTGAGAAGTGGATGAGCCATTGAAAGTGGTATCGGTGACGGAAAGCGACCGCACACCACGCGGCTCCTCGGGAATTGGATTGTCAGGATGTGACGTTGATGACACTGGGATCTCTGGGAAGGTGCTCTTGCGGGAGTGAGACTCTGATGAGGCGACAGTCGTGGACGGCATGATCGCATTGACGGCGTGAACTGTTGAAATAGGCGATGATTAGTGAATTGGGAGAAGAGGGTAATGGATAAGAGACGGCACGTACCCATCGAGAGCGGATAAAGAATGAACGAGCCGAACGGGCTGTTGTTGGAGGATTCGAAGTCCGGGGGGTGGCAGGAGGAAGAGTCGGGAAGTGCCGGTCCAAAAACGACGGGTTGAGGGAGGGGCGAGGGCACCTAGAAGAGGCGACAGATACGGGACGGAGCTGATGACCCTCTGGGAGTTGTGAATTTCTCCCGACTGATTAAATGGAAGAGACCGGTGCAGAAGGTAGCGGGCTGTAGACTCGAGGAATTGATTGAGGATGGAAGGAAAAAGAGAAGGAGGCAAAGCAGTCGGAGTACAAGTGGGACGGTTGAAAATTACGGCTGTCCGGCTATGGGGGGAAAAAGCGGGTTCGGACGCCAGATTCGGGGACAGGATTTATTGCACAAAGTTCGTTATCTGATTTTGCCACATTCCTGAGCTCTGGGTAAAAGTTTGATCAAGATCCATCCGGACTAGGGTAGTACCGTGTAGGCGGATATTATCTATATGACCCTTCTGTTGATTGAGATCATGCTGGACCTCGATACTGAGCATTCCCGATCAGAGGAAAACCTAGGGTCGAGAAAGAAATGTCGTCGACTAAAGAGATTGGCAAAATATCGATCGACCTATTGTTTTCCTTGTCTTTTCTTTCTACGCATGTCAAACGTGGAATCATACAGAGTCCTACGGCGAGTACATAACCAGGGCAAGTATGATAGCTACCGTAGTTCGAGAGGAAAGACCTCGGGAGCTACTTACTGGATATGGCGTTGCCCAAGTTGGGGCATCGTATCCATCAAGCCCCCAAGATCGACGGTGCATTGCAGCTAGCAAATAGGAGAGCATTTTACTTCCATAGGCCTGGACTCTGGACTTACGTTCTGTATCATTGACCTTAATGCTCTACTATGTGGAGATGATACTGCGTACTTCCTTCGTAAACCAAAGTCTATATATGATATCAGACACAAATAAATAGGCGGATCTGAATTCTGCAATCTCCGCTAGTCGCACCAACCAAGAAAATAAAAGTGAAGGCGTCATCTGACTCGCACGAAAATACGGCAAGTTCCGGGTGGGCCGATGCTGGGCGGTGGAATCAGATAACAGATTACAAAGTTACATACACAGGCGGTGGTGTCCAGTAGTACATAATACTGTACAGTACATTCCCGCGTTTCTTAATCGGTTTTGGGAATTCAGATAACGGGCAAGCTGATACTGTTAAGGTACTAAGAGGGCCATCGGCATAACTTACCGTCTTTCTTAGGGGACTCTGCTACTGCCTGATCTATTAAAGGTCTTACGCCTAAATTCTTACATGAGTAAGCGATCCGGTACTCCAATGGCCTAAATTTTAGCTAATATTTTATTACCTTGCTATGAGGAACCGTAAGAAGGCGCGGGGGCTGTTGTAGATAAGGAGCAACCGAGAACTAATTAACCCCCGGACGCTAAACGGTTATTGTCAGCATGTGTGGTTATCACATATACGGGTATGTGCCTTTGTGCGGTCGAGATGCGACTAAAGCCCCACTTTCCTTACCCCTTATTGGATTACTTAACCTCGTCGTCAAACGATAAGATCTATTAGATTGATCCTTAACGATCTTACATACACTTACATACAATCGCCTACCTAGGTAGGAGACTATATAACACTCTAAGGATGTTCCTTCTATTTTATTTATTATTCTACCGTGTACCCTACGATATAAGTACTACTATATTTTCTAACTAAATTAAATCAAGTTTAATATCTCTCTATAATATAAGAACTACTCTCGAGTATATTTAATATAACCCTTCTTCTTTATTAATTAAGCTAACTACGTACCTTCTTATAAACCGTCTCTCTTTAATCCTATCTTTTATATACCTCTTTATTATTGTTACGAACCTCAAGAGGGGCGGTTGGACCGTAGGAAGTTGAGGGGCAACCGTGAACCAATCATCCCACGGACGCTAGTGCTTAGCGTCCTTACGTGTGTCTCAGTATACTCAGGCATGCCCTAGAAGGCCCTGGGAGAATACTTTGGGACAAGAGCCAGAAACGGCCTGCGACTAACCATTACATACAATACCTACTTACGTGATGAGACGGTTAGCGTGACGCAGGAAACGGCCACCATTTTACCCGCACCTGGATTACACCCTAAATGCAAGAGGTCGGTAAAACTAACACGTGACCCTAAGGGTATACTCCCGGCGTGACTCTAAGGAGTAGGCGTAGGAGTATACGGCTACTCTAGATCTACCCCTAGGGGGTAGGCTCGGGGGTAGGAGGGACTAGATATATAAGGACACTTATTTAGCATTATGTATTTAGTTCTTCGCGATTAATTATATATTGTTACTTAGTTACTACCTTTAGTACTTTGCACTTCATAGTTTACCTTTAAGATAACCTAACCTATAAGTAGGGGATTCACTTAGTAGTAATACTTAGTGATTGACTTACTTAGCGCGTACTTCTAGCACGTTCTATAAGATACTTAATAGGATCTATTCCGTAGTAAGGCCTTACGAGGCAACGGTACGATTAAGAGATACTCTTAGAATTCGAAGTTATGCCGAGAGGGCCGGAATTAGCCGTAATAGTATATATCGTTATTGTACCGTATTATAACGACGACTTAGGTAACTATTGCCCTTTCTGCACTTACTTATAGTGACCAGTCGGTACCGCGTAATATATTAATCGCCCTATCTTTAAACCGTGAAGCAAAGTCATTATAGTAGGTAACGATAGCACTAATAGTAACGTATCCTCTAGTAGGAGGCCCTTAGTGACCCCTAAGGAACTTATAGATATAGTGACCTAGCTCTAGGAGTATATCGCCACCTTAGAGGCTAGATAATCTCGAAGATCTATAAAACTCCCGAAACCGGAGTTCTTTAAAGGAGGCCGATCTAAGCTTCGTAGCTTCCTTATATAGATAGAAATATAACTACGTATAAACCCTTAAATCGTAAATAAGGACGACAAAGTGGTCTTCGTCTCTACCTACCTCCGCGGATAAGCTTTCGAATAGTTCGAACCTTTTATCCGCGAGTATTAGGAAAAAACCGATAAGGACGAGTAGAGCGACACCACTAAGGAAATATTCGTATTATACGCCGTATTTAAGAAAAAACTTAAACAAACTTTTGGCGATATCGACGCTATCCGTAGCGCTAAACGACGCCTACGACGACTTAAGCAGACTAGATCGGCTAGCACCTATGCCGCCGACTTCTAATAGATTATCTCCTACTTAGACTAGGATAAGGACGCCTATATCGCTATCTTCGAGGATGGTTTAAAGGACGACGTTAAAGATGAATTAGTCCGGATCGACCGACCTAAGACTATCAGCGAAATAATCGGAATAGCGGTTCGTATCGATAACCGACTATACGAACGATACCTCTAGCGAAAGGAAACACGCTAGTAGAGAAACTAAGGATAATATCCTTTCGGATATATACGCCGCCACGAAGGTAGGCGAGGACAGCGATAATAACCTAGGGAGTATAGCGACCCCTACGGACCACGACCTATAGAGCTCGACGCAGCGAGACTCCCCGCCGAAGAAGAGAAAAGGCGTAAGGATAATAACTTATGCTTTAAATATAGAAAAGTAGGATATCGGGCGCGTAAGTATAATAATAAGCGTAATAACGTAAAGCTATAGGCGCGTAAGCGTAATAATAGACGTAATAACGTAAAGCTATAATAGCTAAGGGTAACTTAGGATAATGAGGTCCGACCCTAATAACTCAGAGCCACCTACGACGGGATAGAGTGTCTGAAAGAAGTGATTACTAGGGTAACTCCGGACGAGTATAAGCACCTAAAGGACTAGGTTACCTAGTAGGTAACCGAAGAATCACTAGTTAGGAAAGAACCTAGGGTTAAGTAACCACGTATTACGACTACGTAGCTAGATAAGGAATACTACGGCCTAAATAGCGTAGCGTACGCGAAGGAAGAGTCTCCTAAAGAAGAGGAGAATATCGAGAGTTAAGGATAGACCTAGTACGGTCCCTAGAACACTATCGACTCCTAGGAACTATCCGACGATTCCTAAGGATAGGGTATAGGGATCCTAAAGACACTAATCGAGATTCTAGGAACCCCGGAGATCCTAGAAACTCCACCCTAGTTCCCGGAAACGGATACGACTAAATAGCCTTAAGAGAACCCTATAAACGATCTAATTATTAAATATTTAAATTAGATTCACTAGGTATAAGGACTTATTAAGACTAATCTCTTATCTACTAAGATACTACGAGAGCTTAGTAATATACTAAATAACCTCTAAGGAAATAGTAGCGGGATACGCGAATAATAGTAATAACACTACTATAGTAACGAATATTAATATAGAGGATACGTACGCTACCCTAATCACGGTCTTAGAACCGTATTAGCGTATTACGACGATAACTATATAATATATTACTAAGGAAAAATCGAAAGAAGCCTAGAACAAAAGCCACTACGATAGGAAAAGAAACTAAAATAGAAGCTAGAATACGCGGGACTCTAGTTCGGAAACCGGAGGATAAACGAATAACACCTCGTAGCTACTATATAGGGCGCGTACGTAAAGATTTTTGCTAATATCGCGCTTCGACTAACTAAAGTAATAATCGATTCGGGAGCGGTAGGAAACTTCATAAGCCCACGATATAAACGGTAATATAAGATTAAAGGCGTAGAGAAACCACGAATAGTACCTTTGATCGGGCTTAACGGAGAGAGCCTAGGGCCGGGTATCACGTACGAGAGTAGACTACTACTAATAGTTATCGGAGACTATTTCGAAGTTATTAACTTCGATATTACTCCCTTAGGTATATATAACGTTATACTAGGAGTACTATAGCTAAGGAAGTATAACCTAGCTATCGACTAGTAGGTTAGGAATATAGTCTTCGATAGATACTCGTGTTAATAGACTAGCGAAGTATAGACTAGAAAGATCGAGCCGATACCGCTAAAGAGACCTAGCACTAGGGAAGTAGGTACTTATAAGATCCCTTACGAAGGAAATTACGAAAGGAGTTCTCGGCTAGGAGGTAGGCCTAATAAACGAGTAAGCGATATTACCGATATCGCTAATAAGGAATAGCGACTAGATATAACGGACGAAGAACTTAAGGAATACGTTCTTATTAACGACGATATAACTACCCTCTATATAATAGGATCACTAGAGGAAGAATATAAGATTCCTAAGGAATATAAGGAATTCTAGGATATATTTACGCTACTATTAGACGGAGAGCTACCGGAGTATAGTCCGTTTAACTATAAGATTAAGATTAAGGATGGCTAAGAACTAAAGTTTATACTAATTTACCCACTATCGTAGAAAGAATCTACGGTACTAGA